AACATGCAGGATAGTGGCCCTAAAAGAAAAGGCCAGGACTGGACACCCCTGAGCTTATCTTATCTAGAACATGCAGGACAGTGACCCTCCAGGACAAGGATTGGATACTCCTGATCTAGAACATGCAGGACAGTGACCCTCCAGGACAAGGATTGGATACTCCTGATCTAGAACATGCAGGATAGTGGCCCTAAGGAACAGGATTGGACACCCTCTATATAAAATATGCAGGACAGTGGCTCCTTTAGGACCAAGATTGGACACATCCTGATCTAGATCATACAGGATAGTGGCTTCTTTAGGACCAGGATTGGACAACCCTGATCTAGAACATGTAGGACAGTGGCCCTCCAGGACCAGGATTGAACACCCCTCTTCTATACTAACAGCATCAGACCAGTTCTGTTGACCTAAAGCAAAAATGGCGTCCATCAGTGTTAATTTTATTAATTTGCAGTAAAACTGCAAAAAGAAAACCCTTTTTTAAAAAAAGGATGACAGAAATATATTAGGTGCATTTGTGGCAGATATTCAATTTAACAATCTGCACCTTTGATCAATTGGTCCAACAGGTCGCTCGGCTGTAGGGTCTTTATGATTTATTGTCTAAAACACTTTAATTATAGCCGGGGTGTGACTGAATGAGCAGCTTTTATACCGACGGTAAAAATCACCCTCTACGGGACGCTTGGTCTTCCGTGTCCTCCGCCTGCCAGACGACCATCTGGGAAAATTATGACTGGCTGGCAGCAGAGTCCTTGGCTTCCATGGCCGACCTTACTCTAATCAACCTGATTGGAAATCCTCCGGCTGCCTGGACGACTGCATTACATCAGTCCACTCTCGCCCTTCCCCCCACCTCATCCTGTCATCCTGTCTCCATTGTTCCTTTGAGACTCTGCTTGTTGTTTTGTTTAAACCCGTTCGTATCATCTCAGTTTACGCTCCAGGTCCCAAAGCAAAACCTCGTTATACGTCTACGTTCAGGCTCCGGTGTTGCATAATCTGCTTTTTCTCCATCGTGACTCCGCGGCTTTATTTTGCATGAGATCAATAAATTATTCACTAGACTGGGCTGCACACTCACACAGGGAGGGGGTCATCACCTGGTATGGCCTACTTCAGAGCAAAAACACTCAGCCCGCCATGTTGTTTTTGAGATGAGTGTTGTTCTGGACTGAAACTGAACAGAGAATGAACCTAAATGTTTTTGGTGCAAGATATTCAAGTGGAGGAATTACACTCTGAAGAACAGACAGAGGCTTTTATTTTTGCTTTGAGGCGCAGAGTGACGGATCCTGGAGAGAGGAGGGAGCCACTTAGTCAACAACCAGGGGCGGAGCCAGGGGGTGGCCAATAGTGGCCTTGTCTGGACTAGATTAATCTTTGACCACCCTAATCATTTGAAAAAAACTATACTTTTAAATAATATATAAACTAAAAAGCATTGTTTCCTGAAATGATTAGGGTCAACGATTTACATATATATCTACGGTGATGGCCATCTTGGATTTTGACGTGGCAACCCATCCCGAATTTCCCATATTCGCTCAGCGACGGGCGACAATAACAGCTGATAACTTGCTGATAAACACCAAAGAAGGGCTTGAAATTAAATCACAAGTTAAGAATATTTAATCTGTGTGGATTTCTGCCGTTTCCATAACGACCAAACCAACAAAAACACAACTGAGAACTGAAGTAAGAACTGGTTTTGGCCCAGTATGCATCTGAAACCAGAACATTTTGAACATAAGCAAGCTTAAATACCACAGCTGTTCTAACCATATGTAGCTAAATATACTGTATCAGAGGAGCTGCAAGAAATAAACTACAACTGAATCTGAATGCAACGTTTGGAGATGATTTGAAACATTTTATGATGTTTAATCTGATAAAAAGTTTTTTGAGTAGTTGGGAAAATGAGCCATCTGTGATGGTACTGGGGGGGGGGGGGGGGTATTAGAGAATTAGAGCTTATGGCACAGTAACTCCTACGTGTGTGAATGCACCATGCTGGGCAGGCATTGGAGCAACGTATGATGCTCATCAGACATCTTATGTTCATCTGACTGTGTTTTCCAACAAGCTCATGAAAAACTTCAATGGAAAAGCTTCTTATTGAAAGAATCTGCAGCAACAATCGAACGACAGGTTGAATGTAGGGAAAATGTTGCTGCTTTACCAAAACGACCCCCCTCTCTGAGGGGTCTGAACAGTGGAAGCTTGTAGTCTTGGAGATGAGTGCTGTTCTGGACTGGAACTGATCAGAGAATGAAGTGAACTTAAATGGTTTTGGTGCAAGATATTCAAGTGGAGGAGTTACACCATTTAACAGAGGGAGTTTATTTTATTTCATTTTTTTCTTGTGGAGTGGAGGAAGCTGTTTTATTCACCAGCAGGGCCAGAGCCAGGGGGTGGCCAATGGTGGCCTTGGCCCCCATATATTAATCTTCAGCCACCCACAAAGAACCCCCCCAAAAAAACGGTAACATTTATAGAAAATACTGTGATTTTCAAGGTAAGCAAAACCTCTACTTGGTTAACAAAATCTGAGAAAGCTCTGGGGAACAGTGGAGTGATGTGATTTAAAAAAGCAGAACTAAAAAATTGTTGGGCAAATATTGAAGTTTCAGTCGAGCTCACCACAGCACTGAATCTGCACTGGTGAAAGTCACTAATGATATTCTCGTGACCTCAGACAATGGACTTGTGTCGACACTGGTCCTATTACACCTCAGTGCTGCATTTGATACAGTTTGATCACAATATTCTATTACAGAGACTTGAATATGATATTGGAATTACAGGAACGGCTCTAAAATGGTTTAAATCATATTTATCCGATAGATTTCCTTTTGTAAATGTAAATAATGAATCTTCATCATATACAAAGTTAGTCATGGGAGTTCCTCAGGGTTCATTGCTTGGACCAATACTCTTTACCTTAAATATGCTTCCATTAATTAAAGTTATTAAACAGCATGGGATAAATTTTAATTATTATGCTGATGATACACAGTTTTATTTGTCCATGAAACCCCGCCGCTCGTCCAGAGCCTGGTTCTGCTTTAGGTTTCTTCCTGTTATAAGGGAGGTTTTCCTTTTCACTGTTGTGTTTGTGCTTGCTCAGAATGGGAGACTGGGATGAAATGAAGATAATGCAATCTGCTGGCTACCCTACACTACCTTAGATAAATAATGTTACTAATCGACTTTTTATATATATGAATATTTCTGTTCAGTGCCCTGAGACGACTTCTGTTATAACTTGGCGCTATATAAATAAACTGAATTGAATTGAAATATTTAGTTATTGGTTATTATCCTCACCAGTTTTTTACTATGGTATCTTGATTTCTTTTTATTTGTGACACATCTACTGGTCAGTAGTTTAAACTTGCTTGTTTAATGTCGTAATTATGAGACAGAGCTTCATGGGAGTGTCACTTGTGGGGCTCTTTATAATTTAAATGATGTGAAATGTGATTTTCAGCTGGCAGGAAACGAGGCTGTGAGATAGGCTGCAGACTGAACAGTAACATTAATATTTTTAGGCGGTACAGTGGGTCCACAGTTGATTTAGAACTTGCTGAATATTCTATAAAGAAAAGTTTGAAGAAGCGTGAATTGGCA